GCTTCGTGGATATGAAGGTTACTGATTGACGCCCGTCTAGGTCCACGCAGTTCGCCGAGTTGTGTGTGTGTTGTGTGGAGTGGCGGACAGGTGGGCTGGGCGACGGGCTGAAGCAGCACCTTCCACGGTCCTCTCACGCAAGTGAGAGACACGCCGTTCAACCCCCGTTGTGTGAAAACCTGGTGTTTGTGTGTATGGGGGGCCAGATCGTGCTGTGGCGCACGCAGTCATGGTCCGTCGACCATGACAGCCACCGCGTCCATTTCCCACTCCAGTCTGCTGACCGACTCGGACAGCGGCTGGGGTGTGGGAGTGGGAAGGGAGAGTGGGTTCGATGACTCAGTGCACTTTCCTCACTGTAACCAATCTGATGCGCTTGAAGCTATCACGGTGCGACTAAAGCCGTGGCTTGGCAGGTTGCCAACTGACGGGGTAACTTGGACCTCCTCCTTGACCGGAGGCGTTCTGTGAGTCAGGCTGAAATGGATCCTTTTTAATGTGGCCTTTGTGGCACTCCCACCACAGTGTGGGATCCGAACCAGGCGACGGCGGCACGCCTACGTGCGGCTTTGGCCCTGCCAGCCTACAAATCTCTGTTGTGATTGGTTGAAATCCTCCTTATTTGTTGTGTGGACCAGGGGGTGTGGTGGAACGCCAAGGTGAGAATGCGTCCGAGCCATCCACCTGCGGTCTCTCTCGTCTCCGGTCTTCTTGACTTGGTCTTGACACCGGACTTAGGCGGGGGAGGAGGAGAGAGTGTAGGTAGATGCAGCGAAAGTCTACTGGCACTATAAACCCCTGCGCAAGTCACCGTCCCTGCTCCCATAATGCTGTGGGGCATACGGTGGACATCATCCAAATCGATGCTCGAACTGTTGTGTGTGTGTGTGTGTAGGGGTGTCAGCGATGGGTTCACGTGATGGTCGTAGTGGTCGCTCACTTGCTTGCAGGTGAGACTACGCCCATCGTCCATTTGTTGGCACTCAACTCTCACATGTGGCTCCACGTAGCCGGGTTTTGTTTTGCGGCCACACCCGGGCAACGGCCTCGACCGGCGGGCTAAACCATGTGAGGGCGGTTACCCCCTGTGCGCGTTGTGCCACGTGCACAGGGTGCTGCGGACTCCGTTAAACGGTTGGTCGGATGGAACACCGTGTCGTCGCCGTCGTGAAGAGGCTTCGTCTACGCCGTTGGTCACCTGGTTGGTGGAACGTCGCAGCGGCATCGTCGAGAAGAGGCTCCGCCTGATACACGGTTAATCAGCCGGTGGGATGGACCTTCCAATCGGCATCGCTGACACGTGCCCATCTGGTGCACCGTAGAAGACCGCAGGTTAACGGCAATGTCGTAAGCCATTGGCATGTTCGAGTCGTTCCTCCACTGTCAAAAAAAGTCGTGGCCTACAGTAGAGTTCGGCCGCGCCGGCACATCAAGCAGCCTTATTCAGGAACCGAACACTGCTTCTTTTCGGAGGGGACCTGGAAAAGCTGACCTAAAAATTGCTGGGGAACCACGTCATCTATAGGCGCACCGTGATCGCAGACGCAAAACTCACGGTCGAAACAATCAAAATCGAAACAACAACAACAACAACAACAACAACAACAACAACAACAACAACAATACTCATTCTCTTCATCCTACCTCTACTTTCTCTTCCTCCGCCTATTCTTCTCCTTCGTCACCTTCTTCTCCACCTCCTTCCCGTCGCCCCACTCGTTGTCACCAGACTGGCAGGGTGAGCCCAATCGGACAGCGGCTGGAATGTGGGAGTGGGAAGGGAGAGTGGGTTCGATGACTCAGCGCACTTTCCTCACTATAAACAATCTGACGCGCTCGAAGTTATCACGGTGCGCTAAAAGCCGTGGCTTGGAAGGTTGACAACTGACGGGGTAACTCGGACCTCATCCTGGATTGGAGGTCTGAGAGTCAGGCTGCAATGGCTCCTTCTTAATGTGGCCTTTAGGGCACTCCCACCGCAGTGTGGGATCCGAGCCAGGCGTCGGCGGCACGCCTAGGTGCGGCTTTGGCCGTGCCAGCGTCTACTCTCTGTCGTGTTGGTTGAAATCCTGGTTATTGTTGTGTGGACCAGGGGGTGTGGTGGAACGCCAAGGTGAGGATGCGTCCGAGCCATCCACCTGCGGCCTCCCTCGTCTCCAGTCTTTTTGACTCTGTCTTGACACCGGCCCAGGCGGGGGAGGAGGAGAGAGTGTAGGTAGATGCAGCGCAAGTCTACTGGCAGTAGAAACCTCTGCGCAAGTCACCGTCCCTGCTCCCACAATGCAGTTTGTGGGGCACAAAGTGGACATTATCGAAATCGACGGTCGGACTGTCGTCGTCGTCGTCGTCGTCGTCGTCGTCGTCGTGTGTGTGTGTGTTTGTGTGTGGGTGTTGGGTGTGTGTGATTTGGCGGTTGTCTTGACGCTCAGACAGGTAAGTTCTATCTCGCCTATTTTTCACGTACCCAGTCGAAGGTGGATGCGCGAAAAAAAGTCGCCGGGCTGTCTGCGCTGATGATTTCCGCAGTTCACATGCCATATAAGCACAATAGTGGACGTCCGCCGTGCGGACAAAATACTATCCAGGCCTACGCAGGCAACTCAGCGAATATTCCTGGGTTGTCACCTAACCCACACACTTCTCCTTGCCAACCAAGCGCTCCAGTTGGGAAGAGAAGCTGATATGCTGCAGCGGTGTAGAAACTCCGCAACATACTGAGATTGACACATCCCATGAAGCACTAATAACTTAAATAATAGAAGAGGAGTTCTCGAGAAAGGAGTTCAAAACCGCATTATGCACCTCCCTTGAGTATAAAATTGGAAGAAGATGTCATTCTCTCCCGAATGAGCAAAAAATGAATATTTTCTGCGGTCTTCCATGAAATATAATTGAATTCTCAGGGTCACCTAACATCAATGGGAAAATTGTATGTTACTAAAGCAGTCATTTTTTAAAGAGTATAGTTTTCGCATGCAGCCGGAAAGGGGTTCGTTCGTAAACCGCATCCTAAAGTGACGGAATTATTGTAGGATTATGATGCACGATGATTAGTTTTACAACCCAACTTAATTAATCTTTTCGAAACGAAAACGTATTTCGGAGGTTCGGCTGTCATTTCATGAGATAGCCCACCTACTGTACGTTAAGATATTGGACGCCAAAACCATCGTGGAAGCATACAGAGAGACTCTACAATGAGAATATGTGTCAGTAGTTCGGTGAAACCGCCGAAATGTTTCCGTAGAATACACGCCAGTTAATAAGCCTTTTATTTGGGGTCGTAGACAGACTGTGTTTTCCCCAAAAGCTGATACATAAGATTATTTTTGGTAGTGTCATGTGCAGTTTGTTTTGTCTGAACGAACGGGATCTCAGGATAATAAGTGAATCAACAAAATTATTATTATTGCTAGAGGGGGGTCAGAACTATTGCAGCGGTGTAAAAAATTAGCCCATTGGCCCTCCATTCAAAGGATGTTTCACAGCTGGTGTTTTCACCGTGGGGAAAATCCGTCGTTAGACCGACAAAAAGCAAAATCAACTTTGCAATCCTCTTTCCTCAGCATCGCCACCGTTCAGTTATATTTCTGAACCGTAGTTTGGTGTCGAAATTGAATGATGTGCTCTATCACCCGTTAGCGTGAGTTCCTCTGAAGACGTTCTCTTGTCTGACTTTGCCTCTGACGATAGATTCGAGTGAACTTCCGAAACGTCAGGCTAATAAAACATTTGGTCTAACGATTGTGTCTTCTTCTCCGCAAAGCTGCTGTTTGTAAGAGCCATTTCAGGGAGGTAGGCGGTTGTTGCTGGGAGGATCAGTTGGTACGTAGCCGCACCACATTTATAATAGTAGAACGCGACCTATAGGTGAGCAAAGACAACGAAAATGGACGCAATATAAACGGAAGAATCTGTTATCACGTTAGCATTAGTGTTTTTTTAGAACCGTTAGAGAAACGGCCAAAATTGTCAAAGTTTTTTTTGGCGCCACTGTGCACAAATTTAAAGTACACAGACATCTGCCAACGCAATACAGCACAAAAACCCTTCGTAAAAAGTGGCTTTCTAGAGAAAGGTTTCGCCAAAGTCATATTTGTTGTTGCCTTTTTTTCGCAAACTTTGTAGTGTAAACTACGAAAATCATGGATTGTCCAACGATATTTCAAGGCCGATATGAAACTCAGCGTAATCCAGAACAAGCGAAAAGCGCAAATCAATTTTGTCGAAGAAACGTTCTTGTTATATACACAAAGTGATATGCCTACGATAATAATTTTCGATTCTATTTGAATTTTTTACTCGGTGAACCGCCTGGCAACTTGTACCCTTGAGGAAACCTTTGTTTCTTTCACCTCACTATCGGGAAAATCAAGGGAAATTCTCTTTATCTTAATGAACCGTAGCTCAATCAATCTAAAAGCATAAAGAATACCACGAGTCCCTGGGAAGCCGTTTTGGAATCTATGCTTACAATGTAGGCCGTTAGCAAATCGCCATATCTGAAATTAAACGAATCCACAAAGGATATTTAGGTGTAAACTTTACTAACAAATTATTTTCAGAGATAATTCTGTTTGTGCTGTCCTAAACACATAGTGTTTTGGATGAACAGACTTTCTGTACAGCGGCAAATGAAATCTGTACAGTTACAACCTCTTTTGATGCTTTCGGGATTTTCCACTTTCCTAAAAAACACAGTGTTTCTAAGCAGCGCAACATTAACATAGAAATGTTATTTATTAACATAGATATGGGGCCCATGCTTGGTTCTGATTTGGGAGTGATTAGAAATCAATTGTAATTTTCGACACTTTCCATAAGAGAGGTCACATACTGCATGTCTCCACCTCTTCCGTGGTGCCCGATTAAGGGACCATTAACGTGCTCATCCTATTTTCTTGACTGTCCTGGTTGTTTTATCCTAATTAAAAC